CAAATCCAAAAGACTCTACAGCTCAGGCTGTAGACGAGGAACCAGATTGAAAGCTGGGCAGAACTTACTGAGTCTGCACTACAGAGAAAAAGTAACAGTCAAGGTCTCCTGTCCCATCTATGCGTTGTTCTTGGAGGCCAGAAACAGTTGGATTTCTAACAGGGACCAGGCACTTTGGAGGTGCTGTCTTCTCTCCTTTAGGTCACTTCCCCTTAGTTTTCAGTCCTGCATCACCAGAATAACCACCTTCCCCTCCACAGAGCCAGCTGAGCATGGGGACCTGGGTCTTAGGGCAGTTATAAATGGAAGCCAAAGTGACCAGCAGGACATCATCTAGGTTTAGATCTCGTTGTGGCCAGGACTAGGCCATAGAAATTGTCTATCTGCTGCACCCTCCCGTAACAACATCCGTGAGAAAGCCAGCCCAGGAAGGGCAATGCTTCCTTTATGTTCATCCTCCAAGTAGAATAGAGTTGACCATTGCACAACATGGGTTTGAGAGGCACGGCTCCACTTATACGTGGCTTTTTTCAACAAGTTACATTGAGTGTTCCTGCCTCCCCTTTTACTTCCTCAACCCTCTTTTGCCTCTGCCACCCCTGAAAACAAGAACTCCTCTTCCTCATCCTGCTTAATGTAAAGATGAGGATGAAGACCTTTATGATGATCCATTTCCACTTAATGGACAGTAAGTATATTTTCCTTATTTTTCTCTAGCCTTTTATTATTGTATTTGGGCTCTGGGGTACACGTGCATGTCCTGCATCCTGAAGGATTATTGCATAGGTACATACATGCCATGGTGGGTTGCTGTCTCCATCCCTCCCCTCACCACACCCCCACCCCCCGTCGCCTACATCAGGCAGTTCTCCCGTGTTATCCCTCCCCATTCTCCCCGCACCCCACTCTCCACTGTTCCCCCCCCGACCCTCTCCCCTCCACCTAGCCCTGTGAGTGCTGTTCCCTTCCCTGTGCCCAAGTGTTCTCATTGTTCATCACCTGCCTATGAGTAAAAACATGCCGTTTGGTTTTCTGTTCTTGTGTCAGTTTGCTGAGAATGATGGTTTCTAGGTCTTCACCCATGTCTCTACAGGGCACATGAATTCATTTTTTATGGCTACATAGTATTCCATGGTGTATATGTGCCACATTTTTTTTTGTCCAATCTACCATCAATGGGCATTTGGGTTGGTTCCAGGTCTTTGCTATCGTAAACAGTGCTGCAATGAACATGTGTGTGCATGTGTCTGTATGACACAATTTATAGTCCTTTGAATACATACCCAGTAATGGGATTTTTGGGTCAAATGGAATTTCTATTTCTGGATCCTTGCGTAATCACCACACTGTCTTCCACAATGGTTGAACTAATTCACACTCCCACCAACAGTGTAAAAGTGTTCGTATTTCTCCACATTCTCTCCAGCATGTTTTGTCTTGATTTTTTTAATGATCGCCATTCTAACTGGTGTGAGATAGTATCTCACTGTGGTTGTAATTTGCATTTCTCTAATGACCAGTGATGAGCTTTTTTTCATGTTTGTTGGCTGCATATTTATCTTTTGAAAAGTGTCTGTTCATATCCTTTGCCCAATTTTGAATGTTTTTTTTTTTTCTTGTAAATCTTTAGTTCTTTGTAGATTCTAGATATCAGCCCTTTGTCTGATGGGTAGATTGTGAAAATTTTCCCATTCTGTTGGTTGCCGGTTTACTCTGTTTCTTTTGCTGTGCAGAAGCTCTTAAGTTTAATTAGGGCCCATTTGTCTATTTTCGCTTTTGTTGCCATGAGTCTACTTTCTTTTAAGAATGTAATATATTGGGGGGTCCAAAGTGGCTCCCGCCGGAGGTCATGGCGCTCGCGAAGGTGAGGTCATCAGTTCAAGGCTAACCTGAGCAACCTCAAAGCTCAAACTGATTGGCCAAAAAAAATGTAATATATTGGCTGGGCATGGTGGCTCACGCCCCTAATCCCAGTACTTTGGGAGGTGGAGGCAGGCAGATCACCTGAGGTCAGGAGTTTTAGACCAGCCTAACCAATATGGAGAAACCCCAACTCTACTAAAAATACAAAATTAGCTGGGTGTGGTGGCATAAGCCTGTAATCTCAGCTACTCGGGGGGCTGAGGCAGGAGAATCACTTGAACCTGGAAGGTGGAGGTTGCGGTGAGCTGAGATCATGCCATTGCACTTCAGCCTGGGCAACAAGAGTGAAACTCCATCACACACACACACACAGAATAATACATAATACATTAAAAATGTGTTGACTGTTTATATTATTGGTAAGGCTTCCAGTGAATGGTAGGTTGTTAGTAGCTAAGTTTTGGGGCAGACAAAAGTTATACGTGAATATTTAACTGCACAGGGTCAGCACCCCAACCCCTGTAGTTCAAGGGTCAACTGTGCTTGTTTAGACTCCAAGTGTCTCTAAGTTTCAGATCACAATCCCAAGATAAGAATTTCTTTTCTTCATCCTCACCCTGTCAGAGGTTCCAGTTTGAAAGGAACACAGGCAAGGCTCTCCCAAGGGACTGGGCCCCATCTGGGGCTTGGAGGTGGGGAGGTAGGGGTTCAGGTCAGGCAAAGGCTGAACAAAAACCCTTCCTGTTTATTTCAAAAGTACAAAGAGAGGGATGGGTCATAGATGAGAAGATGATTTACTTTCCATTCTACCTAGGGGCCAGGAGAAGAGGCATGGCAGCTGCTAGGTATCCAAATGAACCATCAAGCTTGCTACCCCCAGCTTTAACTGACTCATTCTATCTGGTATCTAATCACAGGAGTGCTCAGGGTTAGGAGTCCAGCCCTCATTGGATATTCGCCTTCCTGTGGCCTGGGGCATGTGCTAGGGGAGTGGTATCTCTACATGATGGTTTGAACCCAGGAAGAACTGCTAATATGTATGGATTCATGTGCCATGTGAGAGGAAGAGAAGGAAAGAAAACATGAGCTCACTGGTTTCTGGATGAAAATAACTGGCAGAGCAGACTAGAGGCACTTGCCACACATGAACAGACCCAGATCTGTTAGTAGGCATTTTCATAGGGCAGGTTTCTCCAATCTCTTTCCCTTCCTTGTGTGCCCTAATTCCACCTCTAACCCCAGTACTAGAGGAACCAGTAGGTTAGGAGTCTCCCAGGTACAGCTCTGAAGAAAGATTCCAGAGTATAACAGAAAAATCAAGGCCAGGTGCGATGGCTCACGCCTGTAATCCCGGCACTTTGGGAGACCGAGGCAGGTGGATCACCTGAGGTCAGGAGTTCAAGACCAGCCTGACCAACATGGAGAAACCCCGTCTTTACTAAAAATACAAAATTAGCTGGGTGTGGTGGCGCATGCCTGTAATCCCAACTACTCCGGAGGGTGAGGCAGGAGAATCACCTAAACCCAGGAGATGGAGGTTGCAGTGAGCTGAGATGGTGCCACTGCACTCCAGCCTGGGCTACAGAGTGAGACTCCATCTCAAAAAAAAAAAAGAAAAGAAAAATCAACCGCTATAGCAAGGGAGACTTGTGTTGCTCACAAAAGAAAGGGGGCACAAGTATGGACACACACCCATGTTAGAGCCACGCTATTAGCGAATTAAGACACATGAACAGAGTAGGTTGAGGCCCTTGTCTCTTTGGGCCTATGAGGACTAAGAGAAAGGGGAAATAAAGCCAAGCAGAAGACTGTCAGACCTCTTTGCTCAGAAATGCAAATACAGAGGAAGATGGGGAAAAAGGAAGAGGCCCAACACATGGGGACCAACCAGCACACAGGGCCACAGCCCCTCTGAACCTAAGCACGCAGTTTCATAGTAGGGCAGTCCATGACCCTGGGCACTATGCTGTAGGCTCTGGGATTCCATCCTCTCAGCAAATGCCGTCCCAGGGATCAAGCAGGCAAGGCCCACAGATGCTGGGAATCAGTCTCTACATTAATGCTGGTAACCAGTTCCCTGAAGCCAAAGCAAGGCCACGGGTAACACTTAGGCAACCTCAAGGCTCACTGGTGCTTGAGAGAGGCAGACACATGCTAGAATTAAGTGTCCAAACCCAGAGTTGGTAGATCCAGGCCAAGAGTATGGGTGGCCCTCGCCTTTCTGGCAGGGGCTGGGTTAGGTTCTGCTCAGTAGCCTTGCCAGGACTCCATGGAGATTCTCTGTGGTTGCAGAGTACATAAGCTTACAATCTCTCCTGACTGAGGGGACTTTGAGCACATTATTTAAAGGCAGCCTGGCCAGGTGCAGTGGCTCACGCCTGTAATCCCAGCACTTTGGGAGGCCGATGTGGGTGGATTACCTGACGTCAGGGGTTTGAGACCATCCTAGCCAACATAGTGAAGCCCCTTCTTTACTAAAAATACAAAAATAAGCTGGGTGTGGCGGTGCACCCCTGTAATCACAGCTACTCAGGAGGCTGAGGCAGGAGAATCACTTGAACCCAGAAGGCAGAGGTTGCAGTGAGCTGAGATCATGCCACTACATGCCAGCCTGGGAGAGAGAGAGACTGTGTTTCAAAAAAATAAATAATAAAAGCAGCCTCCTGGAATGTGGACTGTTCTAGAAGGGGCCATCAGTTTAGTCCTTAGCTACCACCAGAACCTTTTACTAACATAGATCTCGCCAGGCGCGGTGGCTTATGCCTGTAATCCCAGCACTTTGGGAGGCTGAGGCGGGTGGATCACGAGGTCAAGAGATCGAGACCATCCTGGTCAACATGGTGAAACCCCGTCTCTACTAAAAATACAAAAATTAGCTGGGCATGGTGGCGCGTGCCTGTAATCCCAGCTACTCGGGAGGCTGAGGCAGGAGAATTGCTTGAACCCAGGAGGCAGAGGTTGCAGTCAGCCGAGATCGCGCCATTGCACTCCCGCCTGGGTAACAAGAGCGAAACTCCGTCTCAAAAAAAAAAAATATATATATATATATATATTGATTTCTGAAACCACATGTGACCAGATATGGCTACGGCTCTAGAACAATAGTTCCTGATTTCCTCCCTAGGAACTCCGTTGAGAATAAGACATAAGACTTCTTGCCTACGAGTCTCACAGGTACTTTTAAAATTTACTTCATAGCCAGGTATGAGGTGGTGCCTATAGTCCACCACATGGGGAGGCTGAGGCAGGAGGATGGCTTGAGCCCAGGACTCCAAGGCTGTAGCATGCTGTGACCACATGTGTGACAATAACCATGACACTCCAGCCCGTGCAACACAGTGAGACCCTGTGCCTTAAAGGAAGTTGTTTCACATGTTCATAGTCCCAGGCTGGAGACCACTGCTTTTTTTGTTTTTAATCCTGTTTCTTGGACCTTGCCTTTTAAGACATCAGGGTAGAGCCCTCAAGTCTAAGATGGCTGCTGCAGGCAGGCCTGTGCAGACAACCTCTACCGCCCTCTGTTGGCCATCAGGCAGGAGGAGAGTGAGAAGTGCTTGATTCCTTGCGGCACTGGAGCCCAGCAGTTTCTGTCCCAGAATACTGGGGGCAGATAAACCCTTGGCAGCTTTCATCAAAACCTCTAGAAGCCTTACTCTTCCTCGGGGTGGGCTGGCAACAAGGGGGCACAAATAGGGACCCCTGTGAAGTCGAAGTTCTACAGCCTGGGTGCTGAGCTGGCAAAGAGCTGTCAGGGTGGGCCACTCACACAGGAGAAAAGCAGTGCCAACCCTTCTCTAGACACGCCCTGGCTGGAGGCCCTAGCAGCAGAGGCCATCTTGCCCTTTCACTTAGAAAGACATCAAAGGGGCTGGGCGCGGTGGCTCACGCCTGTAATCCCAGAACTTTGGGAGGCTGAGACAGGCAGATCATGAGGTCAGGAGATCAAGACAGAGACCATCCTGGCCATAGTGAATCCCCGTCTCTACTAAAATACGGAAAAAAAAAAATTAGCCAGGCATGGTGGCGCATACCTGTAATCCCAACAACTCAGGAGACTGAGGCTGGGGAATCGCTTGAACCCAGGAGACAGAGGTTGCAGTGAGCTGAGATCGTGCCACTGCACTCCAGCCTGGTGAAAGAGTAAAACTCCATCTAAAGAAAAAAAAAAAAAAGACATCAAAGGAAGCTGGGAATCTTAAAGATGGCCCACTGCCTGGGCAGAATTCCACACAGTTCCAGATCACTTGCAACATCAACAGTATTAGTAGGGATTCAGGAAACAGCTATACACACACAACTGAGGTACGAGAGACCAGGTGTTACAGGTGCCAGGACCCCTAGAACTCATGCTCATCCTCGCAAAGACTCTGTGCCTACTTCATAATCCTTCTCCAGGGCAGCCAGGTCCTCATGCCTCAGACAGCTCCCTTTCCTCCAAGCCCTTGCCCTCATACCAATGCATGAATGCCTGATTGGCATACTTCAGGTCAAACTTGTGGTCCAGGTGGGCCCAGGCCTCGGTGACGGCTGTGGTACTGCTCAGCATGCAGACCTCCCGCCGAACCTTGGCTAGGGTACCCCCAGGCACCACTGTAGGGGGCTGGTAGTTGATACCAACCTAAGAAGAAACAAAGAAGTCTAAGTGCCTGATTCTATGTTTCCCAGAAGGTCTGTACAGGGATCCCCATAACTGGAGAAGGGGCATTTAGCAACTTATAAGAAACAAAGATGGAGGAAGATTATCAGCATAGGGAAATAAGTCTAGAATGAGGGAGCTTCTGCAAGACAAGTGACTTCAAAGTCACAGTCAAGGAAATGGGTGGACTCTTACATGGAGACAGAGCAGCATAATGCCTGCTCCTCGATTAGATCACGACTGAAAAACTGACTATAAAAAGCATTTGTGGGCTGGGCGCAGTAACTCACACCTGTAATCCCAGCACTTTGGGAGGCCAAGGCAGGCAGATCACTTCGAGGTCAGGGGTTTGAGACCAGCCTAGCTAACATGAAGAAACCTCATCTCTACTAAAAATACCAAAAATTATCAGGGTATTGTGGCACACGTCTGTAATCCCAGCTACTCGGGAGGCTGAGACAAGAGCATTGTTTGAATCCTAGAGGCGGAGGTTGCAGTGAGCTGAGATCCCACCACTGCATTCCACTCTGGTGACAGAGCAAGGCTCCATCTCCCCCTGCCCACAAAGAGGAGTGAGTTTAAACAAGGTCAGGAAAGCAAAAATAAGGGAAACAGACCTAGATGTTAAATCCAGGTAGTGGCTCTATGGGTGTTAAACGAACTAGTATCCCTCCTTTCCTGTAGTTAAGAAAACTAAGTTTTAAAAATGTTAAACTTAGGGAAAAACTCCAATTAGAGCTAAATTTAACCTACTTTAAACACTAGTCTACCAGAATATGTAGTTTTATTTTTTAAGAAACAGGGTCTCACTCTGTTGCTGAGGCTGGAGTGTGGGGTACGATCATAGCTCACTGCAGCCTCAACCTCCTGGACTCAGATTATCCGCCCACCTCAGCCTTCCGAGTAGCTAGAACTGTAAGCACATGCCAGCATGACTGGCTAATTTTTTTTTTTTATATTTTGTACAGATGGAGTCTCACATTGCCCAGGCTGGTCTCAAACTCCTGGGCTCAATCCATCCTCCCACCTCTGCCTCCCAAAGTGGTAGGATTATAGGCCTGAATCATTGCACCCAGCCCAGAATATATAATACATTTTAGTGGTTCTCATTCTCAAAAAAAAAAAAAAAAAGTCAATTTCCCATTACTGCCTCTAGGGACAGCAAGCTGGCCATGTCCTAAAGGCAGCCTATTCCTCCTCCAAGTAGCTAAAGATCTTCCTAATATGGAGGCAGAAACAGTCTGCCTCCCAGATTTCCTACCCCTCATTTCCAGTTCTGAGCTGCAGGGCAACTCCTCCACACTAGCAAGCAGCTACTATCTCTGCCTCTCCTCCCGTTGTGGTCATGTTCACAGCAGTGCCACGGGGCGGGAAAGCTATATATGTTTTCTAATGCCACAGCTGCCATCTTTAATCTATCTGGAATCTTATTCCTGAACAAAACCCTTAAAACAAACTAGGTCATATGCCCAGCACCCTGAAGAGGGTGGGGCATAAATGAGTGCTTCTTGCTCAGTACTGCAAAAGGAAGAGAACGCATTCACAGATGCAGAACACAAGAATCCTTCTGACCTTCAGATCCGAACTCTCCCCGTCATCTGATAATGGGCCTCTCTGGCTTCTAAAAGCCTTCCCTTCTGAGCAGGAGCCATAGCACGTGGTTATGTCCCTAGCACAAGTGATGAGAAGGCCATTCTCCCCAGTGTGACTGGCTGCTCTGGGAATGCCTATTTACCAGGCTAAGTAAAATGAAACAGATACTCTTCATCAAGGCAGTATTTCAAGTAGAATCCACCCTAGCTTACAGTCCAAAGGCCTGGCTTCTAGACCAGCTGAAATCTATCTAGTTAGACATCCTCTAGCAGGGCACAGTGGCTCATGCCTATAATCCCCACAGTTTGGGAGGCCATGGTGGGTGGATAACCTAAGCCCAGGAGTTTGAGACCAGCCTGGGCAACATGGTTCAGCCCCACCTCTACAAAAACGACAAAGCTAGCAGGATGTGGTGGCACAAACCTGTGGTCCCAGCTTCTGAGGAGGCTGAGGTGGGAGGACTGCTTGAGCCTAGGAGGTCGAGGCTGCAGTGAACCAAGATCACTCCAGTGTGCTCCAGCCTGGGTGACAGAGTAAGATCCTGTGCATCTGTTCCTCACACCTGCTCTGCAGAAAGCTCCTTCTCACCAGGAACACAGGCCATGCGCTAACTGCCCTTTACCCACTTGCCTTGAAACCTGTGGGACACCAGTCCACAAACTGGATATTCCACTTGGTTTTAATGGTGGTGATGGCGGCATTCACATTCTTGGGGACCACCTCTCCACAGCAGAGCATGTGGCAGGCCATGTACTTGCCTTGGCGAGAGTCACACTTGACCGTCTGATTGCAGGGTCCAAAGTAGGCACTGGTGATCTCTGCCACTGACAGCCACTCATGGTTGACCTTCTCAGCTGAGATACTGGGCGAGCAGGTCACCAGGGGAAAGTGGATACAAGGGTAGGGCACCAGATGAGTCTGGAACTCTGTGAGGTCCACAGTGAGGGCACCGTCAAAATGCAAGGAAGCAGTGATGGAGGACACAATCTGGCTGATGAGCCGGTTGAAGTTGGCACAGGTAGGGCACTTGAGGTCCAGGTTGTGGCAGCAGATATCAGAGATGGCTTCATTGTCCACCATGAAGGCAATCTGAGTGCCCCAGGGTGGTGTGGGTGGTCAAGATGAAGTTATAGGGTTCTACAACTGCCGGGGACACTTGAGGGACCAGGTAAATAGCAAACTCCAACTTGAGCTTCTTGCCACAGTCCACAGAAAGCTGCTCCATCAGCAGGGAGGTCAAGCCTGAGCCAGTGCCACCCCTAAAGCTATGGAAGAGCAGGAAGCCCTGAAGCCCCACTCATCTGTCTGGAGTAGGAGATAACATCGTTAAGGATGCAGATGGCACGTCACCTGCTCCAACCCTCTTTTCCTGAGGAAACTTCTGTGTTGAAAGCTACTATTACCCAACTACACTTGCATTAACTTCTGTATTTTAGGAAGACTTTGAAGTATAAAGCGTGTGCATCTTATTGGATGTACGGTGAATGATTTGACATGCATAGACACCTATATAACCAAACCAACAGAGATAAAGAAATTCTCATCACCCTCAGAAAGTTCCCTCATGTCCTTTTGCTTCACCTCCATAGAGGTGAAAAAAGATCACCTGTCCAGGTGTGGTGGACCTCAGCTGTCCAAAGTGCTGGGATGGCAAAACCTCATCTCTACAAAAAAATACAAAAATTATCTGCGTGTGGTGTATACCTGCAGTCCCAGCTACTCAGGAGGCTGAGGTGGGAGGATCGCTTGAGCCCAGGAGGCGGAGGTTGCAGTGAGCTGTGACCACACCACTAGTGACACTCCAGCCTAGGCAACAGAGCGACTCTCTCAAAAAAAAGATTATCTACAAGAGGGTTGGAGTTCCTGGGGAAAAGATGACCCGGAAAGACAGTGCTGTGTCTATGCAATGGTAGGGATGAGACAGGATATAAGATTTGCAGTCAGAGCCAGGCCCTCTCAGTTATGTTGCTCTGCCATCTAGTTACAGCGGAGTGGGAGTGGTGGTGGCAACTTACTGAACATACATGCAAAGGTAGTTTCAGTTAAAAAAAAAAGGAAAAGAACAGACAGATTACCAGGTGTCACCTGAGACTGGAACACAGGAACCCGAAGCTTTAACAAGTACCCCAGGTGATTCTGGTACAGGTGTTCCTTGGGTAAGAAAAGCATCAGTCTATACCAGACACATGGGTAGTGACCGTATAAGAGAATTCTAGCTCTAGGAGGCATTTTCTTTTCATTCTTGAAGAAGGGGGCACAGACTCCCAGTCCTCAAGTCCCTTCCAAGTCCTCAGTGTCTACTGAGCAGCAGAGGGGATATCCAGACAATCCTTTACAGCAACAGAGCCAAAGTCCTGGCTCACAGGTAGCCTCACTCATGGTTCTCAGTGCCTCAAACAGGGGATGGGTCAACTGGAGAAATGGCTGAGCGCTAGGCAGGAGCCCCTCCTACCTGGACAGATCTGCGTAAGAGTCTAAGAACCACAAGCTGAGCTGCTGTGGAGATCGACCAAAGGTCAAAGAAGGCTTGGATCAGACAGACCTGGCAAAGTGAGGAAGCACCAGGACAGAAGCTTGAGTCCACAAACTCAAGGCAGAGCAAGTTATTCAGGCTTGCAACCCTAGATCCGCATCCAGGTTGGGAAAACACACATCCCCCTAGGGGAAGCTGAGTGGACTGACAGGCTGGAGGAATGATGTCAGGTACCAGCACAGGCTGTGGCTGCCTCTCAGCCAGGGAAAAGGCTAAGGATGCAATGACCTCCTGTAGGTCCTCGAGGCCTGCTCACCAGTTGTCGGATTCGCTCTAGCACCAAATTGATGATCTCCTTCCCTGCAGTGTACTGGCCACAGGCATAGTTGTTGGCAGCATCTTCCATACCAGATATCAGCTGCTCAGGGTGGAAGAGCTGCCTATAAATGCCAGTTCTTGAGCTGGGTGCAGTGGGTCACACCTGTAATCCCAGCACTTTGGGAGGCAGAGGTGGGTGGATCACCTAAGGTCAGGAGTTCCAGACCAGTCTGGTCAACCTGGTGAAGGAAGTAAGGAAACCCTGTCTCTACTAAAAATACAAAAAAAATAGCGGGGCATGGTGGCGGGCACCTGCAACCCCAGCTACTTGGGAAGCTGAGGCAGGAGAATCACTTGAACCTGGGAGGCGGAGGTTGCAGTGAGCTGAGATCGTGCCATTGGACTCCAGCCTGGGCAACAGAGTAAAACTCCGTCTCAAAAAAAAAAGTCAGTTCTTACCGCATCTTGAGGGTGAGAAAGAACAAAGGTTAAAAACAAGCTGGTCTCATTCCCCAAGGGAACACCAGACACCAGAACCTTTACTGCTCCAAACTGCTCAACAGAGTGATGACACAAAGCATCCCAGAGGCCCACTTCTAAGGCTGGGTCCTGCCTGGGCCTGGGATGGGGAGAGCAGGCGGTACCTTTGGTGGCCCTTTCCCTCTGATCACAGCCATTTCATTTTGCTGGGTGAGGAATCAGAGTGGTGTTTACAGGAAGCTCACTTCATTTTCGAATATAGACTAATGTAAATTTTCACCAAGGAATGAGAAAAGGAATACAGACGAACGAAGAAACCCAGTCCAGTGTTTAACATCTAAAATAACAGCTTTTAAAAATGGGGGAGGGGTAGGATTGCCATGACTTGGAAGCTGAGGAGATCCAGCTGCAGAAGGGAGGAAGCAGGAAAGCCTCCGGAAGCCAGCAACAGCCGGTTCACACAGGCCCACATCCCACAAGAGGCCTATTTCAGTTAAGGCCAAGCAGAGGGCCATTATGAATGTTCTCGGCTCCCTGTTTCTTAGGCAATGGGCCACCCTCAAGAGCCTGAGGGCAGGGAAAAGCTAGTTTTAAATTTCTGCTTTTACATCCACTCAGTCTGCATTCTCGGCCTGAACACTGACTTATAATCTGGCAGTCTCCAGGCAGAGCTGTGGGAATGATCTTCCTCTCAATACAGGAAGCCCCCAGGACCCCTTCCGAGGACAGAGTCTAGACAAAAGCAATAGACTTCAGACATCAGTGTTCATGGGAGGAGACGGCTTTCATCTCAAGTATTTTCCTCTTAAGCAGAGCTCCCATCTGACATTGGCGCTAGCAAAAACTATGGCCTGGGGGAGGGGGCCCTACTCCTCCATCCACTCACCTATGGCAGCAGGCTCCAGGTCCACAAAGACAGCCTGGGACACATGTCTGCCAGCCTGGGTCTCCCTGAAGGTGTTGAAAGAGTCATCACTGCTCCCCAGGGCATTGTGGCTGGGCATGGTACCCTAGGCTGGATGTTGTGTTCCAGGCAGTAAAGCTCCCAGGAGCCATTGCCCATCTGAACTCCCACCTGGCCCACGTGGATGGAGATGCACTCACACTATGAGGGTGAGCAGAGGAACATGCCCTGAGTGGTGTGGAGTAAAAGATGGGGGCTTGAAAAGCCTTCCCTGGGAGCACCCTTGTCTTTCCTAAGGGCTGAAGCTTAGTGTTACCTAGTCCAAAGTTTTGAAGCCTGACCGGGCAAGGTGGCTCACACCTGTAATCCCAGCACTTTAAGAGGCCGAGGCAGGCAGATCATCTGAAGTCAGGAGTTCAAGACTAACCTGGCCAACATGTGAAACCCCATCTCTACTAAAAATACAAAATTAGGCTAATTTTGATGTTTAGGGGAATCTCACTTCACTTTTGAATGGGATAAGAATATAGACTAAAGTAAATTTTCACCAAGGAATGAGATCACAGGAGGGCGCCTGTAATCCAGCTACTCAGCAGGCCAAGGCAGGAGAATCACTTAAACCCAGGAGGTGGAGATTGCAGTAAGCTGATCTCCAGCCTAGGAGACAGAGTGAGACTCTGCCTCAAAAAAAAAAAAAAAAAAAATAGCCAAAGCCCAGAAGACTCGGTTCTCTTTCAGGCCTTCCCATACTTTAAGCCAAACCACCACCAGGCCCTCATTTTCCTTCATTCACGCAGGGCTTAAGGTGGTGGTTATTACTTTTTTTTTTTTCTTAAGATGGGGTTTCACCATGTTGGTCAGGCTAGTCTTGAACTCCTGACCTCAGGTGATCCACCCGCCTCGGCCTCCAAAGCGCTTGGATTACAGGCATGAGCCACCACGCCCGGCAAGGTGGTGGTTATATAAGCCCTAGGTCTCTGGGGCAGGAACTAGAGAAAGCAAAACCAAACAGCCAACTCCCACTGCACAGTGCCCTCTGCTGTTTGGGTGGCTTGGGAAAGTTCAGAGTCTGTATTCCGAGACAGGCCCACCAAGAGCTTCTAGACTCAAGCACTGGGGCCTAGAAGAGGTCTCCCATGTGCAGCAACTGTCTCCCTCACAATTCGAAAGGGCAGAAGGCGAAGTTCAGACCTGTGGATCAACTGAGGAAGCAGCCCTGGAGTTAGAGCTAGCCTTCCGAAAGTTCACCCACAAACTCTTTTGGGGGGACAGGCACCTACCCTAGCATCTGTCCCTGCCAACTACAGTACCAAGCAAGTACCCCTTAATAATTAAGCATCACGGTGGAGTCCAGAAGACTTACCCCACCTTTCGACTCTGTTCACTCAGGTAGCTTCTGTGGTGGAGAAACCCTCCCATCTTCTGGTCCTTCACCCCAACCCACATTCTAGGGGATCAATTTAAAAGGGCGAAGCACCTCCAAAATGTAGAAGGAATCTTCTAGGGTGATGGTAGGTAACAGTTTAACAGTCTTAGGATCTACCCTCCAAGACAGCCTCAGAGCCTTTAAGGGGGCTCAGAACAGAGACCGGGATCAAGAGGTTTTTTTAGGGGACACAGGAACCTCTGTGTACCCACCCCAAGTTCTCCATTTTAACGGAGAGACCTGAAGCCCTTGGGATCCAAACAGGAGAGAAGTGGAGTCAAGAACATTCTTTTCAAGACCCCAAGAGCTTACAGGAGTCCCGAGTCAAGCATGGGGCCAAAGGTCCAGGATTTCTACCTCTGGCCAGAGTCGGGCGCCCAAGACGAAGGCATTCAGGGAAACAGGTACTGAATTGGAGAAACCTGTTAGAGCGTCCCAATCATCCCGGGCCCTGCCTCCTGCGTGGGAGTGTGATCTCAGAGGAAGGCGGGGACCGCAGCTACAGGCGGGCATCTCTTTGTCCAGGACCGCCTCGGGAGAACTAAGGGCGGCTCCTAGATCCCCTCCAGGCTCCAGAGCGCGCTCCGCCGCAGGACCGACTCTGCTGCCCGAACTTGGCGCGCAGCGCACAAGCGACTCCATCGCGTTCTCGCCCCGCGCTTTACCTCTCCAGCCTGCCCAGTCCCGCGGCGCTCCTGGAGCGCTCAGAACGTTTCTAACTCTCACCGTCTCCCACAGAGGGAAGTAGGGTAGAAAAGTGGTCCTCGGGCGTCCCCGGGCTTTCTGCAGAGCCCACCCTCGCCCTGAACGCCCAAACACCCCTGGCATCCCCGTGCAGCCCACCCCACACCCTGGGTTGCCGGGACGTCCTTCCTTTCTGCGCTTCAGGCCCTTCCCACCGACCCCCCGGGGGCCCCGGCATCCTCCCTATCGTGCGACACCCTCCCCTGCACAGCGTCCCTCACCATGGTTGACCCAGTAGTTTAAGTTGGTGGAGGGTCGCTGACTGCAAACGCGCTACAAATCTCCAGCTACACCGCGAATCCCACCGTGCTGGCGCCAGTGGGGCCTTATATATCCCCGGCGGGCCGCGGGGGACGTCCCCCGTGCGCCTCTCACTGGGCCAGGCCCCTACCGAGGCCCGCCCCCCTCTCCGCTATTGGCCGGCCGCTCACGAAACATCCCCGCCGCAGCCGGTCATTGGGCAGTTTGTACAGCCAGAGGGAGGCAGAGGGGTCCGTGTCCTCCAGGCCAGCTCGATCCTCTTCCCCGAGAGTGTGGGATCTAAGAGCTGGTATCTTTGGGGAAGCACCTTCGTTCCGTTTTAGTTTTAGGACTTTACACCAGCGATACCGCGGACCTGATTCGAAAAGTGTGTCAGCCTTGGAGGAGGGTGCAGACTTAAGTTCAGCAACCATTAGAGAAGGAAAGTTGCTGTTATGAGAACCGACTGCTGGGAGCTTCCAGAACGGGACAAAATGCAGCTGGGGTGGGTAGGATGGGCAGACAGGTGTTGGAAAGGCTATTGCAGGCGCCGGGAACTGATGTTTACTTCTCTTTTGACCTGAGCAGCTGCTCAGGTTCAGGTGACTCAGATTCCTGCTAGAGCCCAGGCTGGCCAAAGCAGACTGAGTGGGGCCTGTGGGGTGGAGTTGGAAGGGAAGCGTGGGGCCTTCAATGCTAGGCTGAAGGGTTTGTATATAATTTCCTTGGCATATAATTTCGAACCGTCGAGGGGTTTTGAGCAGAGGAGTGATGTGATCACTGCAGTATTCTGAGCAGTACTTAGGTGTTACCTGTGCATTATTTTTTTCCAGTAGTGGTTTCATATTGTTCCATGCTAAAGGGCATTCACATACTTTTCCCTCTTTCCAAACTTCTCCTTAGCTGAGATGTTTTAGTTGGAAATACCTAAGTGTAACAAATTAGCCCCTTTCTTTTTGGGAGGGTTAATTGGTATTTGGCTTATCAAATGATTGACCACCCCACCCAGTGATTACCCTTAGTATTTGCAAAGCACATTCCAGAGGAATCCAAAGCATCCCCGTCTCCTATTCATCCTTCCCGTGGACAGGTGCACCCAGTTTGTATATAGAATCAGGCTTGGAGGCTTGAATTGCCTAAGGAAAATCTGCAGCTGATACGACTTTCTGCTGATAGAGCTCAGGAAGACTCTGTCACTGCATCACTGGCCAGTGTGACATCAGACCAGCTGTCCCCTGGATACCTGCACCCATTTTTAAACAAGACTCTAACCATGTCATTCAAAACTGTCCTGTAATATTTTGAAATGAAATGCTTGTTCAGGTGACTCAAGAAGATTTAAGTCCAGGGTATAGAGGTTAACTTGAAAGTCTGAAAAGTATACTTTGGTCTCAATCCTTGTTAATGGGCTTTATGAGACTGCCAGCTCTAAAGTGGATGCCTCTGGTTAGGAGATAGGGTGAGACACTGTGGGCAAACATCCACATAAGTGCTTTGAAACCTCATGTATATAAAGAGCAAAACAACACAACTCAAAATGCTACATTTGAGTTGTTGCCTTTGACTAAAGGCAGGCATATCAATGATTAAAATTAAGCTACCTGGTAATAAATTCAAAAAATCCTAAACTCAACACCTTCATCTCTTGCTTGCCCCACCTTAGGAAGCGCTCATTCCACCTGCCGTAGACTCAGTCAGTTAAAAATGTCTTTCCATTCCTGAGTTGACTCTAACCCAGGGATTATAAATACATTTGAAACAGTGACATCTTCAGTGTTATTTATGGAAATTACACAGCCCTCCACCCCTGCCATTGGCAGTATACTTCTTTATATCAAACTGATTAAAACTAATCCTCTTATAAGACATTTGGATTTATTTCTATTATCCAGACTGCCTCCTAACTTGGAGTTTTATTTCTGACTTCTCCTCCTCCTCTTTCCTCTTCCTCCTCCTCCTCCTCCTCCTCCTCCTTCCCCTCCTCCCCCTCCTTAACACCTCTGTCTTTACAGGAATTTAAAATCTTCCTCACGCAGGAAGGAATTCAAGGTGAGTCACAGAGTGCACAGTAAGAGGTAGTTTATTGAAAGCTACTCAGTTACATAGTGAGGCGTTCTCAGAAAGCAAGAGGAGGAACACGCCATCATTGTTTTAAACTCTTCTGGCTGGGCGCGGTGTCAGTCCTGTAATCCCAGCACTTTGGGAGGCTCAGATGGGCGGATCACCTGAGGTCAGGAGTTTGAGACCAGCCTGGGCAACATGGTGAAACTCTGCCTCTACTAAAAATACAAAAAATTAGCCGGGCATGGTGGCATGCACCTGTAATCCCAGCTACTCAGGAGGCTGGGACAGGAAAATCACTTGAACCTGGGAGGTGGACAGAGCGAGACTCCATCTCAAAAAAAAATTAAATAAATAAATAAATAAACTCTTCTTATGTAGGGGTTTTACCTATGTTAAAGCTGAGTTATGTCTACATGCTGGTGGGCTGACAGCGTGACAATTTAGGAATCTGTTGATTGAAAGAAAGTTATCCTTGGCATTTGCGTGTGTAAGTACCTCAAAGCATGATTATAACTCTCTCTTTTTTTGAGACAGAGTTTCGCTCTTGTTACCCAGGCTGGAGTGCAATGGCGCAATCTCGGCTCACCGCAACCTCCGCCTCCCGGGTTCAGGCAATTCTCCTGCCTCAGCCTCCTGAGTAGCTGGGATTACAGGCACGCGCCACCGTGCCCAGCTAATTTTTTGTATTTTTAGTAGAGACGGGGTTTCACCATGTTGACCAGGATGGTCTCGATCTCTTTATCTCGTAATCCACCCGCCTCGGCCTCCCAAAGTGCTGGGATTACAGGCGTGAGCCACCGCGCCCGGCCCTATAACTCTCTTAAAAGCATATATTGTTACTCAATATCAGGATATCTGGACATTTTGTTGTCATAGGAGTCGGTTCTCATGGGCATTACTAAACAGCTTCCTTAACCAAAACATCTTATGGCCATGAGTGGTGACTGGCAAGGAATATGCCTTGCTAGGTTTTCTTTTTTTTCCTCCTCCTCCTCCTTACCTTGCCAGTTTTAAGATGGAGTTGATTTTTAAAATGTATCACCCTGGTTCTCCTATGCTCCTGTTTCCCTAACATAATCCTCAATTTATGAGAGATTACTTAATGTTTGTTTTTTTTAAATAAAAAAAAATTTTTTTTAAAGACAGGGTTTCACCATGTTGGTCAGGCTGGTCTTGAACTCCCGACCTCAGGTGATCCACCCACCTTGGCCTCCATGCTTGGATTACAGGCATGAGCCACTACACCAGGCTGTAGAGATCACTTAATCTTAAATGGAGATGAGGTATGATAGTCATTCTTCTGTAATTTCTACTTGCTGATTTTATGGGCATAATATTGGAGAAGTAAAAATTCTCTGGATGCCCCACCTATGGGGCCCAAAGGCAGGATGCCTTTATTTCCTTTATTTCAGTGCCTACGATTGGTAATAACAAGATAGCTACCAAAGGTCCTAAGAAGGGCAAAAAACAAGTGAGATTCAGGAGGGAGCATTTTTTTGAGATGGAGTCTTGCTCTGTCACCCAGGCTGAAGTACAATGGCGCAATCTCGACTCCATCTCTCAGGTTCAAGTGATTCTCCTGACTCAGCCTCCCGAGTAGCTGGGATTACAGGCACCCACTGCCACGCCCAGCTAATTTTTTTATTTTTAGTAGAGACAGGGCTTCACCGTGTTGGCCAAGATGATCTCGATCTCCTGATGTAGTGATCCGCCCACCTCGGCCTCCCAAAGTGCTGGGATTACGGGCGTGAGCCATGGTGCCCAGTGGTTTATTTTTATTTTTAGTTTATATTCCTCCTTTTTTGTCAAGGTATGTCAGAGGCAGTATTAAAAAACAAATCAGGCCAGGCACAGTGGCTCACACCTGTAATCCCAGCACTTTGGGAGGCTGAGGAGGGCGGATCATCTGAGTTTGAAACCAGCCTGACCAGCATGATGAAACCCCGTCTCTACTAAAAATACAAAATTAGCCAGGTGTGGTGGCATATGCCTGTAATCCCAGCTACTAGGGAGGCTGAGAAAAGAGAATTACTTGAACCTGGGAGGTGGAAGTTGCAGTGGGCCAAGATCACACCATTACACTCCAGCCCAGGCGACAAGAGGGAAACCTCATCTCAAAACAAACAAACAGGCTGGGCGCAGTGGCTCACGCCTGTAATCCCAGCACTTTGGGAGGCCGAGGCAGGCGAATCACGAGGTTAAGAGATCGAGACCATCCTGGCCATGGTGAAACCCCGTCTCTACTAAAAATACAAAAATTAGCCGGGCATGGTGGTACACGCCTGTGGTCCCAGCTACTCGGGAGGCTGAGGCAGAAGAATCGTTTGAACCCAGGTGGAGGTTGCAGTGAGCTGAGATTGCGCCACTGCACTCCAGCCTAGAGACAAAGACTCCGTTTCAAAATAAAAAAAAAATTAAATAACAAAAACAGACCAAAACAAAAAATAAAACCCCTTGTTCTCTATGTACTATCTAGATGCTTAGAAAAAAAAAACCCAAGATTTTACATTTTATCAAGATAATTCCTATGCTATGTTTGTTAGGATTTTGGTTGATAAAAACACTGAGATTTAAAAGGGTTAAGGCTTTATTTATTTGTTTATTTAGAGATGGAGTCTCTCACTCTGTCGCCCAGGCTGGAGTGCAGTGGCACGATCTCTGTTCACTGCAACCTCTGCTTCCCAGGTTCAAGTGATTCTCCTGCCTCAGCCTCCTGAGTAGCTGGGATGACACGCACGCGCCACCATGCCTGGCTAATTTATATATATATATTTTAATGAGATGGGGTTTCACCATATTGACCAGGCTGGTTTTGAACTCTTGACCTGAAGTGATCCACCTGCCTCAGTCTCCCAAAGTGCTGGGATTACAGGCATGAGCCACTGTGCCTGGCCCTGGCTAATTGTTGTATTTTTAGTACAGATGGGGTTTCACCATGTTGTCCAGGCTGGTCTTGAACTCCTGAACTCAGGTGATCTGTCCGTCTCAGCCTTCCAAAGTGCTGCATTATAGGTGTGAGCCACTTGGCCTGGCCACCTTTTTTATATCAAATTATTCTCTTTATAACTTTCCTTACCAAAAATACAGCTTCATTTCCAAAACTTTCTTCATCTCTCTCTCTTCCCTACTTACTGGTTCCTTTCAACCTTTTTTTATAAGTAATCGTTTTCTTCCCTCCCCCCACAAGACAGAGTCTTGCTTTATTGCCCAGGCTGGAGTGCAATGGTGCAATCTCGGCTCACTGCAACTTCTGTCTCCCAGATTCAAGTGATTCTCCTGTTTCAGCCTTCCAAGTAGCTGGGATTACAGGCACATGCCACCATGCCCGACTGTTTTGTATTTTTAGTAGAGACGGGGTTTCACTGTGTCAGGCAGGCTGGTCTTGAACTCTGACCTCAGGTGATTTGCCCACCTTGGCCACCCAAAGTGCTGGGATTATAGGCATGAGCCACTGCACCCAGCCATAAGCAACTATTTTCAAGTCCATAATTTGAATTGACCTTTAGATAGCTTCTGAATTAAATTTTTCATTTTCTCAGTAAGACTAGTCTCCAGGAGGCTTTTGCCCTCCAATGCTGCCCAGAGAGATGCTGAATTAAACAGCCCAAAGAATGAAAACCATCAAGACCAGAAGGAACAAGACAGGTGTAAGCTTCAGGGCATACAAGCTGAGGGTGGTGTGTGTCACTAATGAGGCATAGACAGCAAATATGCAGCTGACCAAGGGGACAAGGGGGACGGAGAAGCAGTAGGTGCTGGCAAATATGTCTCTGAACCTCAGTTCATCCCACAGCCCTGGGCAGGGGCCTAACCCCCAGTCCCCAGGGAATGTAAAGGAACATGGGCATCCCATGACTCCTGGGGCTCAGAAGTCTCAGCAGGAAAAGGAACAACACAGAGAAGGGAAGGAACAATAAAGGACACTCACCTGGTGTGAATCTGAAAACTTAGGAAGCATTTTCTAGAGAAAACCATTCCACAATTCTAGAAACATGTTTTTCCATATCATAAACTTTTTTTTTTTTTTTTTTGAGACGGAGTTTCACCATGTTGGCCAGGATGGTCTTGATCTCTTGACTTTGTGATCTGCCCGCGTTGGCCTCCCAAAGTGCTGGTATTACAGGCGTGAGCTATTGCACCTGGCCGATAAACTTTTCTTAATTGGAAATAACCCAGATGTCCATCAAGCAATCCAAGGAAAGCTGTGGACCAAAATTTTGGGTCAAGTCTTTATGGAAGTTTGGATTTTTTGTTTTTGTTTGTTTGTTTTGTTGTTGCTGTTTTTGAGATGGCGTTCTCACTCTGTCACCCACAGTGGTACAGTGGTGTGATCATGGCGCACTGCAACCTCCATCTCCCAAGCTTAAGCAATTCTCCTGCCTCAGCCTCCTGAGTAGCTGGGATTACAGGCATGCGCCACCATGTCTGGCTAATTTTTGTATTTTTAGTAGTGATGGGGTTTCACCATGTTGCCCAGGCTGGCTTCAAGTCCTATGCCCACCTTGACCTCCCAAAGTGCTGGGATTACAGGCATGAGCCACCACACCTGGCTGGAAGTTTGGTTTTTAAAAGCTTTTCACATTTGTTTCCTTGGTGTCAAATGAGTCTCTGATGTTTCCATTTTATCTAGAACTCGCTGAACTGTATAAGAAAAACAAAATCTCAGCCAGGTGCAGTGGCTCATGCCTCTAATGCCAGCACTTTGGGTGCCTGTAATCCCAGCTATTTGGGAGGCTGCGACAGAAGAATCACTTGAACCTGGGAGGCAGAGGTTGCAATGAGCTGAGATCACACCACTGCACTCCAGCCTGGGCGACAAGAGGTAGGCTCCATCTCAAAAAAAAAGAAAAAGCAAAGAAAGTTATTCTTGGCATTTGAGTGTGTAAGTATGTCGATAACTATTTTAAAAACATACAATCCTTTGCAATATTGGGACAGCTGGACGTTCTGCTATCATGGGAGTTTGTTCTTGCAGGCATTACTAAAACATCTTCAAAACATCATATGGCCATGGGTTGTGACTGGCAAAGAATGTGCCTTGCTAGTTTTAAGGTGGAGTTGATTTTATTTTATTTATTTATTTTTATACCTATTCTTGCCTGATGGTCCCTGGAGCTGGAGTTGATTTTAAAATGGTGTCACCCTGGCTCTCCATGCTCCTGTTTCCCCAACCCCATGGTCAGCTCTAGTTTTCAAGCAATCTAAAGTATCCTGATAAACCTGCGTTCTTTCTCTATGTATATCCTCCCCATCCTCCACCACATAGCATTGAAGTGACACTGTGAATTGAAGTAACATCCTTCAGTCTGGGCAAAGGGAGGACAAAAGACAATGGATGGAGAGGCTTTTGTGGGAACAAGAATATCCTGTTCACCCAGTGGCGAAGAATCAAGGTAAACGGTGATAGACCAGGACCGTGCTTCAGGATTCATTCTTGAGCCAGTGCCAAGACTATAAGCAGTACCTGGCTTTCAAATGATGGTATTTCTTTCTTTCTATTTATTTATTTTTTGAGACAGAGTCTCATTCTGCTACCCAGGCTGGAGTGCAATGGCGCGGTCTTGGCTCACTGCAACCTCCACCTCCTGGGTTCAAGTGATTCTCCTGCCTCAGCCTCCTGAGTAGCTGGGATTACAGGCATACACCACCATGCCCAGCTAATTTTTTGTATTTTTAGTAGAGATGGGGTTTCACCATGTTGCCCAGGCTGGTCTCGAACTCTTGACTTCAGGTGATTCGCCTGCCTCAGCCTCCCAAAGTGCTGGATTTACAGGCATGAACCACTGTGCCCTGCCTGGAATTTCTTACAAATACCTTAGAACAGTTGCCCAAGCTGAGTGTCGACATGAGAGCACTTTCTTTTCTTCTGGTCTTAGCATGAAATTTATTTCCCCTTTGACTCAGGCAGCTGCTTCCTACGATAGAACCCCCAGTTTCCACTCAATCCCTATTTTACATCTCATTTCAAGGCCCATTCAGGACACGGGAGAAGGGATGATGTATAAACCCATGGAGTTGCTCACTCTCCTCTTACCTCCTTGGTGGAGTGAGTGTTCCCAGCCCACCGTCTATCTCCTCAGTAGTTTCCCTACCATTATGCAGGTCAGAGTTCATCCTAGTCCCCAACTTGAAATAGACTGTCTGGGGTCACCAAGTTTGGATTGAGAAGGGACCCTGTGCTCACAGCAGCAGAGGCCTTGCTCCTGGCATTCAACATTAGAATTGTTTGTTATAGCGCTATGCTTCTGGTACACATATGGGCTGTGTCATAGGTTAAAAACTATTCAACATCTGTTGTTTCTCTCTGAGGCAAAATACATTCTAAGTTTCAACTGACTTCAAGTGAATTTGGTGGGCACTCCTGCCACTTAACTCTAAATTCTTACACCTATATATTCCAGGAGCTTAATTTTCCAAACACAGGAAAATCTTGTTCATAACTGGTTAGCACACTAGCTGGGCATGGTGGCACGTGCCTGTAGTCCCATCTACTCAGGAGGCTGAGGCGTGAGAATCTCTTGAACCTGGGAGGTGAAGGTTGCAGTGAGTGGAGATCATGCCACTGCACTCCAGCCTGGGTGACAGAGGGAGACTCTGTTTAAATAGTAATAATAATAATAAAGCATCTGCTGAGGTTAACATCTTTATTCCCTTTTACCCTCTGAAGACTTAGTCATGGTCACAACCACCTTGAACTACTCTCTCAGTAAGCCGTATACTGTTTTTTCATTGTCTTTTTCAAACAGCATTGAAAAAAAGCATAGTACCTATTCTTTTTTTTTTTTCCTGGAGAAAGAGTCTCTGGCACTCAGGCTGCAGTGCAGTGGTGTGATCATGGCTCACTGTAACCTCAAGCTCCTGGACTCAAGCGATTCTCCTGCCTTGGCCTCCCAAAGTGCTTGGACTGCAGGTGTGAGCTGCCACACGTTGCCCCCAATATTCCTGTATTCGAACTATAACTCACTCCCTCACCACCAGCCCACACTCTGGTTTCTCCCATCACTCCACTGCCAGCTCCCCTGCTGATGGAAGAAGAGATCACGGTGCTTGTAATTGACAATGGCTCCAGCATTTGCAAAGCTGGCTTTGCTGGGTACAGTGCCCCCTGAGCCATGTTCCCTCCACTGTTGGACATCCTGGCACCAGGGCATGATGATGGGGAGAGGCCAGAAGGACTCCTACCTGGGTGATGAGGCCCAGAGTAAGTGCAGCATCCTAACTCTGAAATGCCCCGTGGAGCACCGCATCATCACCAGTTGGGATGACATGGAGAAGATCTGGCACCACACCTTCTACAATTAGCTGCACATGGCTTGTGCTGCTGCCCAAGGCACCCTGAACCCCAGGGCCAACAGAAAGAAGAAGACTTGGATAATGTTGAGACTTTGAACACCCCAGCAAGGTATGCGGGCATCCAGGCTGTGCTGCCCCTGCAAACCTCTGGTCACATCACTGGTATTATCATAGACAGCGGAGACCCACATGGTGCCCGTCTACAAGGGCTATGCCTTCTCCTATGCCATCCTGCATCTGGATGACCGGCCACCCCATGGAGATGTTCAGGGAGCCTAGCTACTGCTTCACCACCACAGCCAAGCAGGAGCAGGTCATGCGCAACATCAAGGAGAAGCTGTGTGACGTCACCCTGGACTTTGTGGAGATGGCCACCACAGCGTCCTCCTCTCTATGGAGAAGATCTAGGAGCTAAGTGGTTCCAGTGTATGGAGGCACTGCTCCAGCCCTCCTTCCTGGGAATGGAATCTTGTGGCATCCACCAGGCCACCTTCAACTCCATTATAAAGTATGACTTGCACATCTGCAAGGACCTGCATGCCAATGTGGTGCTGTCTGCTGACACCCCCATGTACCTGGGCATCACCTACAAGATGCAGAAGATCACCACCCTGGTGCCCAGCTCCATGAACATCAAGATCATCGCCTCCCCTGAGCACAAGTACTTGTGTAGATTGGCAGCTCCATCCTGGTTGCCATGGCCACCTACCAGCAGATGCGGATCAACAATCAGAAGTAGGATGAGTCAGGCCCCTCCATCACTCACTGCAAATGCTTCTCCATGGACTGCAAGCAGATGCGTATCATGTGCTTCAGGGTTTAGTGCATAAGTATAAATTTGCCCATGCTGGCCTCAAGAAACCAGAACAAGCCTTTGAAAAGAAATTGGTCCTTGAAACTTGTGTATCAGCACTGGATTGTAGAACTTGTTGCTGATTTTGACTTTACGTTCAAGTTAACTATTCCCTTGGTATTTGTTTAATATCCTGTACGTATCTTTGATCTATCCCTTAGTACATGTGGCTTGGTAACTTCATGGCTGAGGTGAGGACGTGCTTGTGGGAGGGTGTCCGTGACTTGGTGGGTCTGTGTGACCTGCAGTCTCCCTATCTATGCAGAGGTACTAATGTGTCGGAGCTCAGTGTTCCAGGATTTTTCTAGAGCCTGGCAAGAGCTCCTGAACCAGTTTCATTTCTGTCTTGCTGGTCTATCTGTGTTAAGTCTTGAACTCGATAAGCAGTTTGCATTTATACCTGTGAATTTCTTCACTTTTAATTTAAGTTTTTGTACATAATTCTTAATTTTTAAAGAGATGACCACAAATTTTGGTTTTCCACTGTTATTTGTGTAAGGAAAACTAAAGTGCCACAATAAACCAAAATATAAATATAATTCTAACTTCTAGCTCCATTTTCAAAAATCTGCATGAACTTCTTTAAATTAGTCCCATTCAAATGATACAGCATTCAGCAGAGTTCATTTTAAATTATCTTCAAAACCATTTGCTGAACTATTATAAATTTGTCAGACACTAGGCCAGGCACCAAGGACAGATAGGGTATTTATTCTGAGCCCTTATGCATATAAAATTTATCATCCCTAGAAGTGAGGAAGTAGATTCAGGCATTTAATTTTTAAATATGTATACATCTAGAAGATAATGGAAATGAAATGCTATCTTATTTTGAAGGGAAGAACTGATGTTTAGAAAAGTGGGCTTTGTTTAGTACCACTACTTACATTCTTTTAAAAATCTTACTGTCAGCCCAGTGTGGTGGCTCATGCCTGTAATTCCAGCACTTCAGGAGGCTGAGGTGGGGGGATCACCTGAGGTTGGAAGTTTGAGATCAGCCTGACCAACATGGAGAAACTCTGTTTCTACTAAAAATGCAAAATTAGCTGGGTGTGGTGGCACATCCCTGTACTCTCAGCTACTCGGAAGGCTGAGGCAAGAGAATTGCTTGGACCTGGGAGGTGGAGGTTGCAGGGAGCAGATATCACACCATTGCGCTCCAGCCTGGACAACAAGAGCGAAATTCCACTTCAAAAAAAAATCTTACTGTCGCCAGTTGCGGTGGCTTACACCTATAAATCCCAGCATATTGGGAGCCGAAGCAGGGGGATCACTTGAGGCCAGGAGTTCCAGACCAGCCTGGGGAACACAGTAAGACCCCGTCTCTTAAAAAAAAAAAAAAAACAGGCACGGCAGCATGCACCTGTAGTCCCAGCTACTCGTGAGGCTAAGGCAGGAGGATCATCTGAACCTGGGAGTTTGAGGCTGCAGTGAGCCACAATTATGCCACTGCACTCCAGCCTTGGTGATAGAGTGAGACCCTGTCCCAAGAAAAACAAAAACCTTATTGTGAAAATATATGTTCAGAAAAGAGCACAGATGTACAGCTCAATTTATTATATAACAACTACCAAGATTTTAAAATGCAGAACATTACCAGCATTGCAGAAGCCTTCCTCATGCCCCCTCCAAATCATCACTCCTACCTTTACCATAAATCAAGTGTCCATATATATGCACGGGTCTGTTTCTGAGCTCTTTTGCTCCATTAGTCTATTTGTCTATCCTTGTGAAAAATTATACTTTCTATCCAATAGAAAAATTCTCCTGCCTTGTTTTTCTCCATGACTGTCTTGGCTATTCCTGGTTCTCTGCATTTTCATTTAACTTTTACAATCAGTTTGTTGAATTTTACACACACAAACTTGTTGAGTTTTTAACTGGGATTTACTGAATTTCAGTTTGGAGATTTTTTTTTTTTTTTTTTTTTGAGACAAGAGTTTTGCTCTTGTTGCCCAGACTAGAGTACAATGGCACAGTCTCGGTGCACTGCAATCTCTGCCTCCTGGGTTCAAGTGATTCTCCTGCCTAGCTGGGATTATAGGCATGCACCACCACACCTGGCTAATTTTTTTGTATTTTTAGTAGAGACAGGGGTTTCACCATGTTGGCCAGGCTGGTCTCGAACTCCTGACCTTAGGTGATCTGCCCGCCTCGGCCTCCTAAAGTGCTGGGATTATAGGCATGAGCCACTGTGCCTGGCAAAGATGAGATTGATAACAGTTTCAGGAGTTAGCAAACTTTTTTCTTAAAGAGTTAGATAAGTATCTATGCTTTGTGGGCTGAGGCAGAATTGGAGATATTATATAGATAACTTATGACCATTTACAAAACATAAAAACTGGCCAGGTACAGTGGCTCACACCTGTAATCCCAGCACTTTGGGAGTCCAAGGCAGGAGGATTACTTGAGCCTAGGAGTTTGAGACCAGCCTGGGCAACACGGCAAAACCCTGTCTCTAACAAAAATACAAATGAGCCGGGCGCAGTGGCACATGCGTGCCTGTGTTCCCAGCTACTCAGGAGGCCAAGGTGGGAGGATCGCCTGAGCCTGGGAGATGAAGGCTGCAGTGAGCTGTGATTGTGCCACTGGGTAATAGATCCAGTGGCACAATCACAGCCTGGGTGTGAGTAAGACCCTGTATCAAAAAAAAAAAAAAAAAAAGTAAAAACCATTTTTAGCTTCAAAGTTTCTGAGTCTCAGTAGATCAGGTACTGGCTGAGTGAATTTGGCCTGCGGGCTGTAATTCCCTGGTCCCATGAATTTATTTTCTTTTACTTCTCTTAGATAAGGTTTTGTGTTGTGGTCTCACACGTCTACTGTCACACCTCGCCCCTAGTTTTCTAGTTTTCTCCTCAGTTGTGCCTAAGCTGCTGTTAAAATGTCCCAGTCAATTTTAAAGTTAGAGATACAGACTCACTGTTGCCTGGGCTGGAGTACAGTGACATCATTATAGCTCACTGAAACTTCCAATTCCTGGACTCAAGTGATCCTCCCACCTCAGCCTGGAAAGTAGCTGGGACTGCAGGAGGTGCCATGCACCTGGCTATTTTCTTTTCTTCTTTTTTTTTTTTCTTGTAGAGACAAGGTCTCACTATGTTGCCAATGCTGATTCCACTGTATTCTTAATTATTGAATTCTTAAAAATTCTAGAATTATATTTAAAAAATATATATGTCCGGCTGGGCACAGTGGCTCATGCCTGTAATCCCAGCACTTTGGGAGGCCGAGGCAGACAGACAACAAGATCAGGAGTTCAACACCACCCTGGACAACATGGTGAAACCGTCTTTACTAAAAAATACAAAAATTAGCTAGGCGTGGTGGTACATGCCTGTAATCCCAGCTACTCAGGAGGCTGAGGTGGGAGAATCACTTCAACCTGGGAGGCAGAGGTTGCAGTGAGCCGAGATTGTGCCACTGCACTCCAGCCTGAGCAACAGAGCGAGACTGTCTCAAAACAACAAAAAACCCCAAAACAAAACAAAACGTGTCCACGTAGCTGCTGAAATTCCCAAGCTTGTGTCTCTCCTTGAACATGGTAAATAGTTATTTGTCTGTTTGACAGCGCCAGTATCTCTAGCCACTATGGGCCTGCTATCTGGTCTCACATGCCTGGTTACATTGTGTTGTACTCAGGATATTGTATTAGCAAAATTGTTTGTAGAAATAATCTGAAGTTTAGGATAATAATAATATCCTCTAGAGAGGGTTTTTGTTTGCTTATCCAAAGAGTTTGAGCAAACTACCACACTGGGATCACCTTAATCTAATTTCAAGGATTGAAATCGGTAATTGGAAGCTGGGCCGCAGTCCCAAGAGCCTGTTTCCCACATCGCCTCACCCTTATTCCTGAGTGCAAAAGACTGAGGGCTTCAACCAAAAGTGAGGGACACCACCAAGTCCATCACCCTTTAACAGGCCCTGACCCCTACTTCTGAAAGGCTACTAAAATCAGTGCTAAGCCCCTGAATCGCCTCCAAGTTTGACAAATGCTCCCTGGAGAACGATGGTCCATCACACCAAGCCCACCTCCCAAGATCCCCATCTTCTCTGCCCTCCTGGTTTAGTAATTCTTCAAAGCCATGTCAGCTCTCTTAGTGCCTTCAAACAGATTTAAAAAATATTTTGTCCAGCCTTTCTAGTTGACCAGTGAGCTGGTCAGTCCAAAGGACCTATGCACGATTACCAGAAGCAGAAGTCCCCACTAGTTATTGTCAGTTAGACATGTAGCCTCATGTACAACATGGTGACAATTTGTGAAATGTAGTACACCATTGTCCATCTTGGATTCTGTGTTTCTGTAAAACGACAATCACGCGGAAACAATTAGGCCTTCGCAAAATCAACTGCTCTCCCCGACAGAAAACGGAAGTATCTATACTTGGAGCAGCAAGCACAGGTTGCCTCTATCTACCCACAGCAAATAGCAGCTGATTCACAAGTATGGAGTGAGAGCCTTTTATGTGTGAGGGAAATGAAATGACATTTGCTTTTTACAGTGGACTAGATCATCAGTTGGCTGACCTGAAGCTAAACCCTAAGGTTCAGGTTTCAGCTCTCCTCTGCTTTTTCAATTTATATATTCTTCCCAAGAACATGCAGAAATCTAATTTCCATTGCTTAAATTCCTTTCTTTCTTTCAAATCAAACTGAAAGGCAGAATAGCAACTTGATATTTTTGGCTACTAGGGTAACATTTGGCAGTTCTCAAAAAAGGAAATAGAAATGACCAATAAGTATATAAAAATTTCAATTAAATAAATGCATATTAAAACAATGAAATACTGTTTTCCTATTCAAGTGGCTATATATACATATATATGTATGTACACTTTTTTTGAGACAGGTTCTCACTCTGTCACTCAGGCTGGAGTGCCAGTGGTGTGATTTACGCTCAGTGCAGCCTCCATCTCCAGGGCTCAAGTTATCGTCCCACCTGAGCCTCTCAATTAGCAGGGATTATAGATACACACCACCGTGCCCAGGTAGGTCATTTTGTTCATTTTTTATAGAAATGGAGTCTCACTATGTTGCCCAGACTAGTCTCAAACTCCTGGGCTCAAGGGATCCTCCTGCCTTGGCCTTCCAAAGTGCTGGGATTATAGGCACAAGCAGCAAAATATTTTTAACGATATCCAGTGTTCGTGAGGGTTCAGAGAAATGAGTGCTCTTTTATGCTGCTGGAGGGCACGTCAGCACAGTTTTTGAGATGTGTCAATACAGTAAAGCCTCAAAAATGTGCATACCCTACAATTCCACGTCTAATAATGTACGCCAAGTAAATAATTAAGAAGGTGCACACAGAATGTAAGGTGCATGTCATATCATTGTTTACAAGAAATTGAAGACAACATAATAGTGGACTGTTATAATAGAGCAATACAATGGAATACTAATCATGGTGGACTTAGATACATATCTACCGTCGTGGGAAGATTTTCATCCTATTTTGTTAAATGAAAGTTTTGTTTTTCTTTTCAGAGAGGATCTTGCTCTGACGCCCAGGCTGGAGTGCGGTGATGCGAACGTGACTTGCTGCGCCTCATCCTCCTAAGCTCAAGCAATCCTCCAACCTCAGGTCTCCCAAGCCTGTGGGATCACAGACATGTGCCACCATGTCCGGCAAACTTTTATTTTTGTAGATACAGAGTCTCACTATGTTGCCCGGGCTGCTTTTGAACACCTGGGCTCAAGCAATCCTCCTGCCTTGGCCTCCCAAAGTACTGTGGTTACAGGCGTGAACCACCATGCCTGGCCTACATGCAAGTTTTAAGAGGACAGGATGATGTCCTATTTGTTAACTGCACATGTGTATAATATATACATATACATTGAAGAGGATATATACCACATTACCATTGGCAATCTCTGAATGGTGGGAGTATCAGCAATTAAAAAAGTTTATACGTTTTGAATTTATCTGCAACGAATATGTATTCTATGATTTAAAAAAGAACAAACAGTTAAAGCCTAATTTTTAAGAAATGCTTAGCTTAGGTTCTGGTTTGTGATGTCAGGGGCCATGTGTCCCTAGAGGTGTCTACTTGGTTTTGCTCCTGACTTCAGTGGGTAATTGTTTTTCTGCAGATGCCATAACAATGGACATGATCATTTGTCAGAAAAACACAGTTCTCTCAATTGCTTACTGAAGCTCATTCAGGCTGACTGCAGAAGGAAGCCACCTTTCCTGGGGAGTAGGTTGTTGCAAAACTGCGCCCAAGGCCAGCCTGCACTTCAGTGAGGAAGCCCTTAGAAAGTTTGGGGGTAGGCCGGGTGCGGTGGCTCAAGCCTGTAATCCCAGCACTTTGGGAGGCCGAGGCGGGCAGGTCACAAGGTCAAGAGATCGAGACCATCCTGGCCAACAAGGTGAAACCCCGTCTCTACTAAAAATAAGAAAATTAGCTGGGCGTGGTGGTGTGCGCCTGTAGTCCCAGCTACTCGGGAGGCTGAGGCAGGAGAATTGCTTGAACCCGAGAAGCGGACGTTGCAGTGAGCCAAGATTGTGCCACTGCACTCCAGCCTAGCGCCTGGTGACAGAGTGAGACTCTGTCTCAAAAAAAAAAAAAAAAAAGTTTGGGGGTAAGGAAGGAGGAAGCCACTAGAAAACAATGGAAGGGACTTCAGATAGTAAGTTTCTATTAAGTACTTATTTCAATTTTAGGCCGTCTGAATTGCAGAGGTGAAGAAGGATACCTGAAAGCTTGGTTATATAATAAACTTCCTTCTACGACGGTGAGTCATTTCAGAATAGCAATGATGGAATAATTGGAAATCAAGTTGAAGGCTTAAACAACTCTGCTAATATGAAACTGTTAGAGCAACCCCAGAGCTATTGAAATAGAAGCATCTGAATGGAAGTTTGTATCCTGGCTTGGTAGAGAGATTCCAGTTGGACCAAAACTCCATGAGGACCATGCTTAGTATGTTTAGTAAATGATGATACTGTACATTAAAGAAGTCTTGCCTATAAACAAAGGAAGAAAGTAACCTGTCAGGCCGGTTGTGGTGGCTCGCACCTGTAATCCCAGCACTTTGGGAGGTCAAGGCAAGCAGATCACCTGAGGCTGGGGGTTCGAGACCAGCCTGACCAACATGGAGGTGGTCTCTACTAAAAAGACAAAATTAGCTGGGCGTGGTGGTGCATGCCTGTAATCCCAGCTACTTAGGAGGCTGAGGCAGGAGAATCACTTGAACCTGGGAGGCGGAGGTTGCAGTGAGCCAAGATGGCACCACTGCACTCCAGCCTGGGCAACAAGAACAAAACTGTCTCAAAAAAATAAAAAAGAAAAAAGGAAAGTTACCTGTCCAGATGAGGCAAATTATAAACTTGTGTATAATTTGGCAAAGGCCTAACCCTCATATTCTATACCCTCCACTCTGATCCTGAGAGAGCCTGGGTAAACAGCCAGGGCTGGGTTTTCCTTGAGTGACTGCCAGATGGGGTTAAAGATTTGTTTCTCACCTTCTAGGCTGTAGCAGTGAGGAGCTAATATAAAAAGAAACCAAAAGATTTCAAGGGCAGAGGGACCGCACCCATCTTCACAATAAAATGTCATTCTCAACCTAGAGCAGAGGCGCTCAAACATGGTGTTAGAGATGTGTCCAAAGTAATGTTTCTGGTTGGTGGTTTAAATACTGAGTTTTGTAAATGCTTTACTTTTAGAAAGAAGTTACTGTAGATCACAAGGGCAGCCATACAACAAAGCCACTTTCAGATGTTCGGATGCTTTCTTGAATGAGAAAAAGGCAGACTTTCAACTATTAGCACATAAGCATCTTTTGTCATGTGTCATCACAGTTAAAAGGTCGAATACTGCTCTTCGAGAGCAAGAAAAAGAGGAAGCCCCTGGGTAAAACAAGAGCCTAGGCGGAACGCCAGGGAAGAGATGAGATTTGCGGAAGCACAGTGTCCCAAAACAGGGGAAAAGGGAGCTTAGGAAATGTGAGGCAAGTGAACTAAGCAGGAGGCATGTATGTGAGGCTTGAGGAAGCAGGATGAACCCTCTGCATGTTCAAGTGGACATGCTGGTACTCGGTATTTATATTAGCATAGAGAAGAAGGCAGCGGAACAGTTACACCACGTTAAATGCCAGTTCTTGTGGGGAACAAGTTTATCTTTGGGGGCGGAGCTGAGTACCCCTCCCCTCAGTCACTCATGGGAAACTCGTTCCAAGGCCACATAGAAACTGTTCTTGTCATCTAGGCAATGCCAGCCAATTGGTCCAATTTCACAGTCTGCGCAGACCAGAAACTTGATGTTGCCCACGTCCTTGGTGAAGCCCACATTCTCAAAAATGAACATGTCCTCAACCAGCCAGTGTTCCTGGAGGAGATCGCCATTGGGATCGCTGCCGTCAGACAGAGCTGGCTTCTTTCTCATGGAGGGGAGGAAAAGCTGCCGTGGGAGAGAACATAAAGAACACAGAAGTTGAACTGGCCCAGTTCCATCAATACCCACATTCTCAGTACCCTTCACATTGCTCCCTAGCAGGAATGACAAACTAAAAAAGAGAAGCCCTCTCGTTAAGCTGTACACGATGATCCTGGGTGGCTCTTTTTTGCCTCTGGTCCCTGCCCTGATTCTTAAGAGAAATGAAAGAGGGACGCCAGCTGGGTGGTCTGGGAACTTGGCCTCACTGCTGTCTTCACCATGGGCCCCAGGTGGTCCTATTCTCCCCAGGTCACTATGCTTCAGACAACACTGGCTTTCCTGCCATCCTCAAAGAGCGTTAGCCTGCTCTGGCCTCAGATCTTGGCATGGCTGGCTCCTCCACAGTAGTCAGCCCAAATGTAGCCTTCTCAGGAGGTCTTTTCTAACCAAATGACCTGAATTAGCTTTACTTACTGCCCACTGTATTATTTTTAAAAGAGCTTTATTCAGGTATAATTGACACATGAATTGCACACATTTTAAATGCACATCAGCTTGGGCAACATAATGAGACCCAGTCTCCACCACCAAAAGTATTACGAAAAAATTAGCTAGGGCTGGGTGCGGTGGTGCATGCCTGTAATCCCAGCAGTTTGGGACGCTGAAGCAGGAGCATCTCTTGAGCTCAGGCAACATAGTGAGACCCGTTCTCTACAAAAAATACAAAAATTAGCTGGCTGTGGTGGTGCAACGCCTGTAGTTCCAGCTACTCATGGGCTGAGGTAAGAGGATCGCTTGAGCCCAGGAGGTTGTCGAGGCTACAGGTGAGCTGAGATCACACCACTGCTCTTCAGCCTGGGCAACAAAGCAAGACTCTGCCTCAGGAAAAAAAAAAAAAAAAATAGCTGGGCATGTTGGCAAATGTCTGTAGTCCCAGCTATACAGGAGGCTGAGGTAGGAGAATTGCTTGAGCCGGGGAGATTGAGACTGCAATGAGCCAAGATCATGCCACTGTACTCCAGCCTGGGTGACAGAGTGAGATCCTGTCTCAAAAAGTAATAAAATAAAATGCACAGTTTCTTTCACTTTAGCACATGTATACCAGTCAAACCGTTATCATAATCAAGAAAATGAACACGTTCATCTCCCCGGACATCTCCTCATGCCATGCCTACTTGTTTACTTTTTGCTTATTTTCTGAAATTATTGTATTAATTTATTGGCTTACTTATTTACCATGTGTCTATCTCCACTAGAATATCAGCTCCTGAAAAGCAAGGAGCTTATGTTGTTCATTCCTAGATCTCTAGTGCTTAGAACAGCAACTGGGATGGAGCAGAATCTCAACGATTTTGTTAAAAGAATGAACAGGGGATATCTGGCTTTGATCTATTCCGTCAGGCAGGAACATACTGGATTTATCTTACAAAAAGGAAAATCTAGTTCTACAGTTTGGAATTGTCAGCTCTAGGATGCTTGCACCCTCCAATCTATAGGACTTCTCAATCATTAGGAGGAGGCCTCTGGCACTCACATAATTGCTTTAATTTCTTCCATATGGATAGTGTATACACCCTTGGCTGTCCCAGACTACTGCAAAATATAAAGCCAGTGAAGTGTGTTACCCCTCTGCTCCTCATACGGCTGCTGTCATATCACTTATTTCCCATTTCCCACTCCACAATATACTTTTTCATTTTTGTAATTAGGGATGGGGTGTCGCTACATTGCCCAGGCTGGGTTTGAACTCCTGGGCTTAAGCAATCCTCCAGCCTCAGTCTCCCAAGTAGCTGGGGCTATGCCACAAGCCACTGTGTGATACTGTCACTCCAGTCACTCTTTTTGCCTCATGTTAAACATGCCCTTAATACTTTGTTCTACCTTAAACAAAAACAGGAACAATCAGAGGCAAAGAGAGGAATCAAAATTACAGAACCAGGAAACCGGAATTCCAGTCCTATCTGTAACTCTCTGTGGGCCTCAATTTTCCTAAATATATTTCTGGCTTATCCCCTATATTGTAGGTGTGAAATCTCACACATCTTAACATAGACGGAGTGAACTTCAGAGGACAAGTTAAGACACCTAAACCAATCAACCAAGAATTCAGCGTGTCCAACAAAACAAAAAGAAAATGGACTAAAGCATCAGCGTTCGGGCGGTGCCCAACAAAAGAACACCACTTCCTGCTCTCGGTTCCCATCTGTAGCACAAAGCGTCACCTGTCCAGTCGTCTCTCCTTTGATTTGTGATTTAAAGGTACTACTATTATTACTTTTTTTTGAGACAGAGTCTCACTCTGTCGCCAGGCTGGAGTACAGTGGTGCGATCTCAGCCCACTGCAACCTCCGCCTCCTGGGTTCATGCAATTCTCCTGCCTCAGCCTCCTGCATAGCTGGGACTACAGGCGCGTGCCACCGTGCCCAGCTAATTGTTTTTGTATTTTTAGTAGACATAGGGTTTCACCATATTGGCCAGGATGGTCTCGATCTCTTGACCTCGTGATCCACCCACCTCAGCCTCCCAAAGTGCTGGGATTACAGGCGTGAGCCACCGCGCCCGGTTGGTACTACTATTATTAACGCTCCATTCAAGACATCATATTGGGTCCTGTTTGCTCTATTCCTCGACATTCCCATTTTTACTTAGATCCTCTAAGTCAGACCCACAAGACTATACCCATATATATGCATATGTATGTGCATCTCTGCTTGGATCTCAGCCTCTTCACTGCAACACCAAGGACAACTGCTAGGGCCAGGAGATTAGATAGAACATCTGGAATATAATGAGGATTTCTACACAGACTACTGGGAGGTAGAAACAAAAGAAAGGTAATATGTAATTTGAGGCAAACTCGACTTGGTGCAAAGTTGCCAGTGAGATCCCTGAACACATGGGTTACCTTCGCTCTGTCAGGACCCCAGCGCATCCTGGACCACCTCTTCAGAAACAGATGGAACACCACAACCCAGTGAGACTGCTGATATACTACTAACAGCACCATTTTAAAAACAAAATACTACCTTTCTTATTGTAAAAATACATTCTCGTGATAGAAAACTTGGCAAGCATGCTACAACATAGATGAGAATAGAAACTGTTCCAATGCAGGGTACACTTCGGTTAACTTTTTCATAATTTTTTCCCTTCTGGGGGCTACTTGTGGTGGTTTCAAAACACATTCGAAAATTCTCTGATAATCCCTTCACCAAGAGTGGAGTCCATGCCCCTCCCCGCTGGTCTGGGCAGGCCAGGGTGATTGCTTGATGGTGATTGCTTGATGAACATATGCTGGTTAGAAAATGGCACACAACTTTTGCCATTTCTCGTGGGACACTTGGGCCCAGTGAGAATTGCCTCACTAAGGCTAGTCAACCCCTAAATTCCTGAGCAGAACACATCACTGTTTGGGCTGGGCAGTGGCTCACACCTGTAATCCCAACACTTTGGGAGGCCGAGGCAGGCAGATCACCTGAGGTCAGGAGTTCAAGACCAGCCTGGCCAACATGGCAAAACCCTGTCTCTACTAAAAATACAAAAACTAGCTGGGCATGATGGCGGGTGGCTGTAATCCCAGCTACTCGGGAGGCTGAGGCAGGAGAATCGCTTGAATCTGGGATGCAGAGGTTGCAGTGAGCCGAGATCACGTCATTGTACTCCAGCCTGGGTGACAGAACAATATTGTCTCAAAAAAAAAAAAAAATACATCACTGTTCTGAAGTCACTGTTTGGGGGCGATTTTGTTGAACAGTAGTAGATAATAGCAATACTTACATAGCTGAGATGCATGTTCCATTTTGATTCCCAATTTTTTTTGTGGTAAAATATGAAATTTGCCATTTTAACCATTTTTAAGCGTACAGTTCAGCATCTTTAAGTACATTCAACTATGGTGCAACCGCCCCACCATCCATCTTCAATCTTTCTCATCTTCGCAAACTCTGTACTCATTCAACAATACTCCCATCCCCTTTCCCACAGCCCCTGGCTACCACTGTTCTACTTTCTCTCCATGAATTTGACTACTCTAGGTACCTCAGAGAAGTGAATTCATGTAGTATTTGTCCTTTTGTGACTGGCTTTTTCCACTTAATGTCCTGATTTTTTTTTTTTTAAGCAGTCTTGCTCTGTCAACCCAGGCTGGAGTGTGGTGGTATGATCTCAGCTCACTGCAACCTCTGCCTCCCAGGTTCAAGGGATTCTGCTTCAGCCTCCCGAGTAGCTGGGCTTATAGGCACGCACCACCACACCTTGCTAATTTTTCATATTTTTCGTAGAGACGAGGTTTCACCATGTTCGCCAGGCTGGACTCAGACTCCTGACCTCAGGCGATCCTCCCAACGTGCTGGGATTACAGGTGTGAGTCACTGTGCCTGGCCTGATTTTTTCAATTAAAAATTTATTGAGATAACTGCAGGTTCACATGTAGTTATAGGAAATACAGAAATTCCATGTAACTTTTACCCTGTTTCACCCAAAGATAACATTTTACAAAACTATGTGCAAAATGACAATCGGGAGAGAAACACTGATACAACCACACACCTTATTCAGATCTGCCCAGTTTACTTCTACTCACGTGTGTATTTAGTTCTATACAATTTTACTACATGTAGGGTCATGTTTCCATCAACATGGTTAAGTTCCATCACCATAAGGATCCCTCCTTACCCTTTTATAACCATGCTCATCAAACACCACCCACTGCAGGCCTAACTCCTGGCAACCACTAAGCTGGTCTCCGTTTCTAAAATTTTGTCATTTCAAAAATGTTATATAAATGGAACCATACAGTATGGAACCCTCTGAAACTAGCTTTTTTTTTCACTCAACACAAGTCACTGAGATGCATCCAAGTTATGTGCATCAATAGTTCATTCTATTTTTGTTGCTGAGTAGTATTCCATGGTACAGATGTACCAATCTGTTTAACCATTCACCTGTTGAAGGGCATCTGGGCTTTTTCCAGTTTGGGGCTATCATGAATAAAGCTGCTATGCACATTTATGTATAGGTTTTGG